TGTGTGTGTGTGTGTGTGTGTGTGTGTGTGTGTGTGTGTGTGTGTGTGTGTGTGTGTGGTGTGTGAAAGTAGCTTGGCTCAGATGGACGAACACGTGCTTCCTCTTCTGCAGGGAGCTGCACGGTCTGTACAGCTGGCATCATGAGAGTAGAGAGAGGGAGCTGTGTTGTGGTCTGCCAGTCATATGCAAACTGAACGTGCTGTAGGGCCCACAGAGGCTCATAAATGATGCAGATTTCTGTCACGCTGCAGCCTTTGATGTGCTGCTGTGTTTGAGAATACGAGGCTTTAGGTCATCGCGTAGCTGTGAGATTATTTTGTTGACAGTAGATGAAAAACCCACATGTTTGTAACGTCAAATATTTCAATGTCACTAAAAATATGAACTTTGGGGATAATAAATTATGCATATAAAAATAATAATGTGAATAAAGTGCCTGTTGTCCTGTTCATTAAGCACATTCAGGTGCAGCAGGAAAAGCATGGTCAGTGACTTGGCATAGGCAGGTGTGAGATTCTGACATTACGATAACCTTGAGCAAAAATACCATTTTTATTGTACTGGGGGGGGGGACACAAAAACAAAAGTACATCACGTTTTGTTTTCTTTAGTCAAAAAAAACTGATTTTGTTTCCAATGCACACAAGTATGAAATCAAAAGTTATGATTAAATAAAAACATAAAAGCAACGCATAGAAAAAAAATACAATTTAATTAATCACATCTCAGTTCCCCACTCACTCCAGAGTTGTGTGTAAATTGTATCTAAAGGAGTGTCCTCTTCACAGCATCGCATCAAGTTTAAGGCATGATTTAAATGCAAAATATGTATTTGCTGCAGCTAATACTAAAACCACCCTGCTGGTAGGGAGATAAGTCTCTGTCCTTGACAGGTGAATGGTACAACCAGCCCATAGAGACCAAACAATGAAGTTCAGAGTAGGGCTGCATGACATCAGGAAAACCTGCCACATGTGGTAACGTTGCTTAATATTGCAATGATGATAAAACTTGGGATAAATGAACAAATACTTATCTAGTGTTGATGTCTTTCTGGTCTGTGTTCATAGCATACAAAACCATAACTACAGTAATACATATTTTCTATTCCAACATGAGTTTAATTTTATAAAATGCAACTAGACACAGCTGCTATATTGGCAGTAAATCAAGAAACTGCATTCAAGATAACTTCTTAATYATTTTAAAACATTGCCCCCCTAAAACATTTTCTGATTCTCTAAATAGTGAAAAATTCTACTCAGCAATTAAAAATAAATAAATAAAACTATCTGAAAACTAGAAGCACTTGGAGAGCGCAAACCTCCGCCAACGCCAATTTCCCCTATCCTGCAATAGTGAAGAATCCTTTTAAAYAATTCTTGGATCCGGATTGTAATCTGGATCATCACCAAAATTTAATTGTATGTTCCTTTGGCCAATACCCACCTGTGGTAAAAATAAATAAATAAATAAAAAATATGAAAATCTGTCCAGAAGTTGTTGAGTAATTTTGTCAACAGACAGACAGACATATATTTATTTATATTGTGTGAGTGTTTGTGTTGTATGTGACTTATTACGTTTTTAGTCTAATATATGTGTGTTTGTGTACAAGTGCTTTACGACTAAAAATGTAATAAATTGCATACAACACGAGGACCGGAACCGCATCAGAATAAAGAAAACATTCTGCCATGAAAGAAAAAAACAGAATAAACATGATTTTCTTTAAAAGAAAACCTTAGCGTTATCTATCAGAAAACAGATCTGAACTGGGGGTTGGTTGTTTTAGGTGGTTTTTGGGTTTTTCGAAAAGAGTTAATGCACAAAAGGAGAGATGGAAACACGTTTACCAAATAAGTTCRGACGTAGCAAACATTTACCTCACATGGTTGATCAGCTGTTCCTGCTTCGGCTCGGCTGCACCCGTGACTGCAGCTAGACTCTACCCCCGCTGACTGTCGGCGTTTTCTCAGTTATTCCCGTAACGTGAAGAGAATCACATTTCTTTTTCTCCGTCTCCAGACAGCATGTAACATCGCCAGAACTAGTTGAAAACAGAATAATTACAACTTTCCCGATAGTGGCAACACGTTCCTGATAACTTCTCTCCATTGTCCTGTCACAGCGAGTTTGCAACCTCTACTTCCTGTTTACTGCAGACGTGTCTGACGTAATGACACTTTGCGTAGCCTGGCTGATTTGCTCAAATTAAAAGAAAAATGCCTGTATTTGCATCGTGATCCGGAATAACACCAAAATTTAAAGGTGTGTTCCTTTGGCCAATACCCACCGTGTATTGGCAAGAATTTGGCGATACGATACATATCATGACAGGGGTCACGATACGATATATCCTGATATATTGCGATACTGTAAGCAAGGTGATACATTGCGATATATTGCAATTTTTTTTGGTCCAAAAATTCTATTAAATAAAAACCTCTTAACTGGAAAAAAAGGAAAAATCAAAATTCATTGTCTCAGAAAATTCTATTATATAGACGTGCTAGCCTTCTGTAACGTGAAGGCTGACTAAAGTTGGAAAAAAGAGCGCATAAGACACTTAATTTGGTTTAAAATAGAGACATTCTGACAAATAAGTATCTGTTTGTAACCTTACCTCAGCTTAGAAGGCAGAGGGTGTTGGTCTTTTCTGCTCAGATTCAGCWATCGGAGCATGAAGCTAATGTTTACTTACAATGCTAATGCTACCCTTACTCTCTGGCACTCAAGAGGTAGAGGAGCCAAATGGCTGCTCACTGCTGCCAACTAGTGGTCAGAGGCTGAACTACAACATAAAAATGAGCGGCTGGCAGGAAAATTGACATTTTAAACCTTAATTAAAAATCGATACAGGACTTTAGAATATCGATACAGTATCGGGAAATGAAATATTGTGATATTTCAGTGTATCGATATTTTCTTACACTCCTACCCACCAGTGGTAAAAATTTCATGAAAATCTGTCCATAAGTTTTTGAGTAATTTTGTCCACAGACAGACAGACAAACATACGCGACCAAAAACATTACCTCCTCCCTTGGTGGAGGTAATTAAATAATTTCAAATAAAAGTTAATAAACTTGAATCCAATTCTCTCATTGCAGTTGTCCAAAATTCTACTCATTAAGTGGTTATAAATTGACATGGTATCTGAGGCTCATTTTGTTTATCAGACTGATGCTGACAAAACACACACCATATTTATTCATCTACAATACGATCTTGTGTATAATATGATCATTTTTTGAGCTTAAAAAGCATTAAAAAATCTAATCATATACAGTATGAAGCCACCACTCATTTTTCAGGATTTTTCCGCCTTTTCAGTGCACCCTCTGGTGGGGAAACATGTTTAGGGAGACACACTTGTAGGCGTGTTTTGCTGCAGAGCTGTGGAGGACTAGTAGCAAAAGTTTCCAGTTKCATGTGTCACTGAAAAAACAATCTGCTCCCAGACCAGAGCAGAAGCTGGTTGTTAATT